TTTTTTTTTTTTTTTGGCCAGGGCTAGGTTCGAACCCACCACCTCCGATATATGGGACCAGCGCCCTACTCCTTGAGCCACAGGTGCTGCCCTATGTGACTATATTTTTTCCACTTAAAATATTTTGGAACTCTTCCCATGTCAGTAAATGTGGCTCTACCCTTCTGTTTTGTGACTGCATCATGTGGAATTTACTTAGCCCTCTCCTACTGAGGGATATGTAGCTTGTTTCCTGAATTCCACTGTTACAAATAATGCTACAAGGAGTGTGATTGTATATGTACCCGTAGGAACAGCTCTATAGAACAAATTCTTAGAAGGGGAATTACTGGTTCAGAAGATGTGAGCAAATAGAACTATGACAGCTCTTGCCAAATAGTTCCCTAAATGACAGACCCCATCGACCGCCCTGCCAGCTCTGTGTGAGCATGGCCATTGGTTCACAGACTATACCAGACGTTAGCAATTTTTTTGAGACAGAGTCTTATTTTGTCACCCTCGGTAGACAGCTGTGGTGTCATAGCTGATAGCAACCTCAAACTCTTGGGCTCAAATGATCCTCTTGCCTCAGCCTCCCTGGTAGCTGGGATATTAGGCACCCCACACAAGGCCCTGCTATTTTTAGAGATGGGGTCTCACTCTTGTTCAGGCTGGTTTCAAGCTCCGGAACTAGGCATCCACCTGCCTCGGCCTCCCAGAGTGCTAAGATTACGACAGGCGTGAGATACCTCACCCAGCCCTTGGACATTAGCAATTTTTTTTTCTCTAATGGAGAAAAAAATTTCATTTAATTTCCATTTATTTGATTATCAATAAAGATATTATCTATTTGTATTTCTTCTTCTATGAATTACCTGTCATGACCTCACTCATGCTTCTACTGGGTTGTCTTTTTTATAATAGTTTATAAGAGCTCTTTATATATCCTGAATAGGAAATTTTTGTCTTTTGTAAATGTTCAAATATCCTCTCCTCATCTGTATCTGGGCATTTAACTTCATATATGGAATCTTTTGAAGTTATTGATTTTATGTCATCAAATCTTTCTATTTTTCCTTTCAAGAGCTTCTAAGTGAAGAGCAGGGTTGGTCTAGAGACTCTTGTGGAGTTGTGCTACTGCCCAGATGTCCCTCTCAGAGCATGACATGGACAGATACAGCAGGGCCTGAGAGACAAGCCCAGGTCTTGGCATCTTCTAGATCTGGGTGTGACCACTGGCTCAGACTACACACACCGCATTTGGTAAAGCCACTTTAGCACCCCCAGCCCTGTTTTTGTTTTTCTTTCTAATCTAAATGATGTTTGAATGTGCACACACCCAGCAGCTGGGATTAAATGAGCTAATGGCTGACGTGCTCAGCTCAGGGCCTGACGTGCAGTGAGTTCCCAGCAGCGATAGCTATTCCCAGCGTAGTAAGGTAAGTGCTGAGAAAGCAGTGACTGTCAACATGGCCAGAGAAGGGGTGCAGGACATGACTTCAAACCATGTTCTACACAAATGGTTGAAGGACAGCTTTCCTCAGCCTGCAGAGCAAGAAAGATCCAGAGGCAGAAGTAGATATCTGCTATTTATGCCCTCCAGGATTTAGTCACCCGTCTCCTAGTAAAAGGTTTCCCCAAATTTCCATTGAGAAACCGCCTCTCCCTCATTTAAACACCAAGGAGTTGGGGTAAGTTGCCCTGGTTCAGTTATGCAATTCAAAAGAAAATAATACTGCACTGTAAAATTAGTGTAAAGAAATCCAAATTATGCTTTAAAAAAGAATAATCAATCCTATTGCTTCCAAGTCAATGGAATGAAGATCTATGTCCAGGGACACACCAAGCAGTGTTGAAGGGGACTGCTGCTTTGTTCACCTCTTATTCATGGACCCAGTCATAAGCGCAGGACTTGTAGTCAAGCCATTCTTCAGGCTTAGACCACAGGCTGATTTCTTTTTCAACACTTTTTACTGAGTTGCTGCCATGAATGATGTTCCTGCCAACTTGAATGCAAAAGTCCCCATGAATGGTGCCTGGCTTAGAATCTGCTGGATTAGTCTCCAAGTATCACTCGGCCTGTCTTTACCACATTCAGCCCCTCCCAGACCACAGCCACAACAGGGCCTGAGTTCATGTACTTCACCAGTCCAGGGAAGAATGGGCGGTCTTTCAGGTCAATGTAGTGCTGCTTCAGGTGTTCCTCAGAGGCTCGAAAGAACTTCATGGCCATGAGGCGGAATCCCTTCTGCTCGAAGGACTTGATGATCTCACCCACCAGGCCACGCTGCACGTCCAGCTTGATGGGGATGAAGGTGTGCTTGAGGTTGGCCATGGTCTGGAAGGCTGGCGGGCCGGCCAGCAGTGGTGCTGAGCTGTGCATGGAAGCCGAGATCTGGGCCTCCCCTCCTTTTCCTCTTCACATCAAAGTCTCTCAAATTTTGAGCTAGTGTCTTTATTTTTGTTTTTTGTTTTTTCTTTTTTTTTGAGGCAGAGTCTCAAGCTGTCACCCTCTGTAGATGCCGTAGTGTCACAGCTCACAGCAACCTTCAACTCTTGGGTTTAAGCAATTCTCTTGCCTCAGCCTCCCAAGTAACTGAGACTACAGGTGGCAGCCACAACACCCGGCTATTTTTTGGTTGCAGTTGTCATTGTTGTTTTAGCAGGCTCGGCCAGGTTTGAACCCTCCACATACCTACCTACTGAGCTACGGGCACCACCCTGAGCTGGTGTCTTAAACACACAAGCTGTCCTTTTGTTAGATCATTCAGTACTGGCTTGTAACAGATATTATATCCCACCTCACTCTCAGTGATCTAACTTAGCATACTAGCATTCCAGGTTTATATACAGATGAGGGAACTGAAGCTCACAGAGGTGGTAGGAAGTGACTTGCTAAACTTATTAGGTTAAATTATTTAACATACTTAGGATAGTATTGCACACATAGTAAAAGATATTTTAGTATTAGCTCAAAGAAAACCAGAAAAATTTTAAAGCATCTTAAAGAGCTAAAAATATTTCTGTCTGGTTCCACCCAGTCATTTAGACCCAGATTGCCTGTTGCCCACTTCTTGCTGCTCTTCTGTTCATGATCCCAGCCTGATGAGCCACTACAGGTGCTCAGAGTCCAAGCCAGAATTTTTTTTTTCTTATTCTGTCTTTGCAGAGTGGAAGTTGGATCACGAATACCTCCATGTCCAGCTCTTGGGAAGAAGAGACTGGGCAGGCGAGCCTAGGGCCTAGTAACACACATCACTTTTACTCAAATTCCCTGGACAAGTATTTAATCACATGACCACATTAGCTGCAAAGGAGGCTGGGAAATGTGATTTCTAGTTGGCAACCCTGTGTCATCAATAACTGAGTTACTATGGAAGAGGGAAATGATGGATTTCGATGGTCAACCAGCAGCCTCTACCACAGCAAATTAGCCCCGTTGACATAAGAACTCAAGTCCCTATACTCAAGGGTACTTGGTGGGGGTGGCGAAGATGTCAGAGGCCTGAGTCCTACATAAAGAGAATTGTTAGAATTTAGTAGACATGGTATCGGTCAGTCATTACTACAAAATATGCATCTTGGGTAACTCACTTCCTTTCTATGAGTCTCAGTTTCTTTGTCTATAAAATGGGGATAGTAAGGGGACTTTCCCATGAGCTGCTGCTGTAAAAGCAAATTAACCACAGTTCATAACACATATCAGGAGCTCACATGGTGGAATGAATGGGGTAGAATCTGGACATGAGCACATGAAAGAAGGAAATTCCGAGGGAGATGACAATGTGTGCAAAGGCCAATAAGGCTTGACTGGAAATTCAACAAGAGTGGTTAACATGTAGGATAGATGGTCAGAGGGGCAAGTGATATGCTTGGAGTAGGCAAGGATCAAAGAGGGATGACCTGGCAGCACCTGTAGCTCAGTGGGTAGGGCACTGGCCACATACACCAAGGCTGGTGGGTTAAAGCCCAGCCTGGTCCTGCTAAACAACAATGACAACGGCAACCATTGTGGCAGGTGCCTGTAGTCCCAGGTCCTCAGGAGGCTGAGGCAAGAGAATCACTTTCGCCCAAGAGTTTGAGGTTGCTGTGAGCTGTTTCGCTATGGCACTCTACAGAGGGTGACATAGTGAGACTCTGTCTTAAAAAAAAAAAAAAAAAAAGAGGGATGCCCCTTGAGTTGCAGACTTAGGAACTTCGACTTGATCCTATTGGTACTAGGATCCATGAAGGATATGAGCAGAGTAGAAAAAGAGTTAAAAGCTGGGTGCAGTAGCTTACGCCTGTAATCCTAGCACTCTGGGAGGCTGAGGCGGGTAGATTGCCTGGGCAATCTCAGGAGTTCAAGACCAGCCTGAGCAAGAGCAAGACCCCATCTCTAAAAATAGCAGGGCATTGTGGCTGGTGCCTCTAGTCACAGCTACTCAGAAGGCTAAGGCAAGAGGATCCCTTGAGCCCAAGAGTTTGAGGTTGCTGTGAGCAATGACTCCAAGGCAATCAACCCCAGGGTGACTGAGTGAGACTCTGTCTCAAAAAAAAAAAGAAAAGAAAGAAAGAAAGAAAGAAAGAAAGAAAGAAAAGAAAAGAAAAGAGTTAGGTTTATGTTGAAAAATCATTTTGGCCATTGTGAGTAAAATGGATTTCAGAGGGGCACATGTAGCAATGGGGAGCCCCGAGAAGGCTGTCACACTGATTTAGGTAGTGTGGAGGAGTCTATGACAAATGGTGGCACAAAGAGGTAGATGAGAGAAATGGTAAAGAGACAGAAGTGGCTCATGCCTGTAATCCTAGAACTCTAGGAGGCTGAAGCAGGAGAATCACTTGAGCTTAAGAGTTCGAGACCAGCCTGAGCAAAAGGGAGACCCTGTCTACTAAAAATAGAAAATGTAGCCAGGGATGGGGACAAGTGCCTGTAGTCCCAGGTACTTGGGAGGCTGAGGCAGGAGATTGCTTAAGCTCAAGAGTTTGAAGTTGCTGTGAGCTGTGATGTGACAACACTCAAATGAGGGCAACAGAGTGAGACTGTCTCAAAAAAAAGACAGAAATAATAAGCATGAAGAGAGATTTGGTGTGAAAAACATGGAACACAATATTTGCCATTAAGTATTCTTTCCCTGAATGAATGACCTTATAGGATCCCATTCATTCCTCCATATGAGTACCTAGAATGTGTCATTTCTGGACTACTTGTGATTAGGTATGTGGCTTTGAGTGACAGATAACAGTAGCTTAAGTAAAAAGAACCAGATAGGTGGGTGCAGATGAGTGTGGTTACCCATAATGTTGGTATCCAGGCTCCTGCACCTGGCTGCTTTGTCATTCATGGGTTAGACCTCACAATCCAAAAAGGCAGCTTAGCCACAACATCAACATTCCCTCCAAGAAGGAGAAAAGAGGAGGAGAAGTGCTTTTTCCTTAAGTTGCCGACATCTAACCACAGAAATAGCTCAGAAATGTAGCCTTTATTTGGGGTGGCCATGTGTCTAAGTAGAATTTGGAGTTTCTGCTACTGAGGAAGCAGGTGAGAATGGATCCTGCAGTTTCAATATTGACCTGTTGAAGAGGAGGCTACAGGAAAGAAAGGAGCCAAAAAAGGTTTCCAGAGGTGTGGCCTGGGGGACAGATGGCTCTTCCTTGAGTGGGACCTAGGAGGACGAGCAGACTGTAGGCAACAGGATAAGATCAGATTGGAGAGGTCAGATCATCTAGGGCTGATGTCTAGGAGGAGAGGGCCAGGTAAACAGGTCTGGAGCTCAGGAGTGAAGTCTGGGCTGACAATGAGGTATCAGCACAGCCCTGGGTGCCATGAGAATGATGATGCAGAGTGATAAACGAAGGTGGCCCCGACAGAACCTTGGAGGGAGCGGAGAAGGAGCAGCCCAGGAGGCAGCAGCCAAAGGCATCGGGAAAGTCCAGGGAGGTGTTTCCCAATGAAGGGAGTTACCTGATGCTCCCTCCATTGGGAAATGAGGACTAAGAAGAGGCCGTTCAATTGGGCAATCAGGAGGTCAAAAGTTGCTTTGTCAGAGTGATTTCCAGAGTGGAGAGTCAGGATGCCTTGGGTAGGAAGGAAATAGGAAAAGAGGAAGTGGGGTCGGCAAGGTGGATGGCCTGTGTAAGTGATCTTTTTGGACCTTGGTGTTTCCATAGGTCAAGTGACCCACATCTGGGGCTTCTTCGCTGGGTTTTTCACTGGACTTAAAAGCATGGAAATACTCTCTTCCCCCTGGGTTGGTTGGGCCCAGACAGCACGGGCTTGAGGGATAGGGTGCAATACCCGGCTTTGCTCTGACGGTGGCAGCACTACACCAAGGGTGGCTAACTGGACCAACACAGGGCTCATAAATGCATTTTCAGGGAAATGAAGCTCAGTTCCCCAAACACCAAAGCTTTGACTTTTGGGTTTTCTTTCCTCCATTTTGGGTAAGAGTCTTGATAGAGAAAGTTGAGTGGAACTTTCGGTTCAAATCCTGGCCCTGTAGCTCACCGGGTATGTGACCTTGAGCAAGTCCTCTCTTGGGTTGGCAAGTGGAGATGACAACAAACCCAGATCCGCCTCGCCGGCACTGTGAATCTCCAAACAAGTGTGGCTGTGTCGCTGTTCTTGTGGACAGACTCAGGCTGGGGGGTGGGGGGGCAGCGTGGATGAGCTCCAGAGCCGAGGGACCAGGCGACCCATGAGGATGGGGGTGGTTTGCACTTGTGGTCTTCACAAGGCCTGGACCGACCTGTGGCTTTGGGGTCAGGAAATCTGGATTCAGATTTTGTAAATAAGGGAACTGAGGCTCACTCAGCAGGGGAAGTGACTTTCCCAGGGTCAAAACCCCTCAAACAGGCGAAGCAGAGTCACCATAACCAAAATTTGGAAACTAATCTGATGGATAGTAATTTGGGGGAGGAAAAAAAAGCATCCAGGTTGTAGCATGGGAAAAATCCAAACTTTGTGCGTCTTCTTTACCATTACTGTACTGTTTGCTACACTTTGAACTTCTGAAGGTGTTCCTCTTCCCGGTTCCTGTCCCTCTTTAATGCCCACGTTCTGAGAGTGCCTCTGTGTCTGTTTCTTCCATGATGACATGGGGGGTAGGTTACGGATGTGAGGGGAAGGAGGCCACACAGGCACAGGCCTGGGGGCAGAAACTTGGGTTCTGCACTGGCTTGCTTGCTGAGCCTCAGTTTCCCCATCTGCAAAATGAAGTTGTTGGCACTGCAGGCCCCTTGGAGCCTTGGCAGCTCTGACTTTTATGAAGGCTTCTGCTTCCCTGACCAGCCACCTTCCAAAGTCTCTCCCCCAATGTCACCATCCCATTTTGTCTCATTTTCTTTACAGCACTTATCACCCACTGAAATTATCTTGGTTTTTGTTTATTTTCTGTCTAGACAGTAATCTACC